TGAGTTCTTCTTCTTCTTTTCCCTTTATGAATCCTCAAGGGAAATGTCATGTATACGAAAGCAATCATCCAATAGGGGTGTTTCCACCACAGGAACCTTCTGAGCAACTGAGGAACCAAAATGCTTTTAGACAGGAGTAATTGGAGACTAAATGTAGCTCCAGGTGCTAAAAAAAGCCTTTCTGCGGAGGTAGTACTCTATATTATCTAGGTAAAGATGAGGATTGGACATGTCTAATGTTACAGAGTGAGAAGAATCATGAAGATTGAAACCCTTGCCAAAAGTGTACATTTCAATGTTGATTTATTTTCAACCCGTAAGTATATGTTCCCATAGAAATGAGAGGACCCTTCCCTATGAATACGTATTTTCCTATGACATTACTAACTACAGGGTAGCCCTCAGCATTTGTACAAAGTGCATGGATCAAACCAAGGAGACTGATATTCACCTGATGTATTATTTCACCTTTACTTCCTATATCCACTATGTAATCCTCTCTTGTTTGTTTCTTCCTCTATGGTATTGGTACTTGTTATTTTCCTTCGTCACACTTGTCCCTCCTCCTCCTCCTCTTCCTTCCCGTGTCAGACGGAGCAAAAAACACATCAGAGGTGCGTTTGTCCGTTCAAAGGCTCCACAATCCCCAGTGTTGAGCTCCACTTTTGCCTTACTCCGTTTACCAGTGCACACGTGACACACACAGACACGATGCATGTGTGATATCTATAACATCACTGATCAGATTTGTAAAGCCTATTAACCTTATAACATTAAAATGGCTCATGGGCTTTGTATAATTTGCATAATAAACGTATCTGCTGTTTCGGAATATAATCCATCATTTCTGCACATATGTGTTTATCTCTTTGAGCGGTGTTACAACCTAAAATACATACATGTTTTGTCTGGCTGTCAGTATTGGTATAAAATGCTTCACAGTACATTTCAGATTGAACAACAATTATTCAGTCTGCCTAAGTACTGTGTAAACACAACCAGCAGTGAGGAGAAAAGTTCCAACAAAGGCAACACAATACAAACATGTCCTAATAGGATTTTCTGATTTATTAGTTCAGATTATTGCATTATATCTCTCCATTTCTTTGTTTGTTCTTTTCCAAACTGCAGCTGTGCTTTGGCTTTATTTTGAAGAGGGATGACTGTTAGAGAGACTATTTTCTTGAATTAGCTTTCAGAAGTTGAAAGGTCTGTTTATATATACATGAACTCTATATGTGGAGTATCTATGTATCAAAGAAAAAAAAACTCTTATTTGAGGAAAGTTAAGTGAAAAGATTGATTCCACCATCCTGTCTGTATGCTTTGAAGCTACCCTCACCAGCCAGGAAACTCTGCACACACAAACAATGAGGGAAACAATTAGTTTGCCTTGGTCCAAAGGCCAGGCCCAGTTGCCAGGCAACAAGGGGGGGGTTAGTGTTCCCATCACTGGCCAGGAAATAGTCTAACATTTTTTGGGGTGAATAACCATATTTATACTTTTTTTTTTTTTGTATAAATCAAACAGACATGACACAATTGTAATGAGTTAACTTAAGAGGTGTTGCTAAATATATTTTGCTAACATTAGGCAAAGTCGTATGCTAAGCTAAGTTAGCACTCTGCTGTTGTATTATATTCAGCAGATGCATATCTATTCGGAATCGGACATCTAACTTTTGGCAATAAGTAAAGCCTTTTTCAAAAATATCATACTATTGCTTTAACCTGCTGATTTTGTACAAACTACTAAACAATCTTCAAATATTGTACACATAACTTATACTGTCTTTCAGACTAGAATAGAAAATAGAGCGTATTTCCAAAAGTTAGAAGCGAGGATCGTCACGCACGCACGCACGCACGCACGCACGCACACACACACACACACACACACACACACACACTGACCGCCTCTTGATGTTTTTGACAGCTGGCCCTGATAGGAGGCTATTTTAAGTCTGTGGTTGGATATATCTGTGCCTGTCTCACTGCTGTCATGTGTTTGTAAGTGCTTTGCCTGTCCGTCTGTTTAGAGGGTGTCAATCTGATTGGCAGAGTGTGGCATGGTCCAAGTGGCATCTGTCAAGGCTGTACACGGGATGTGATTTACACGGTGCTGAGACGTTCCCCACACTCTCTACAATGAACTAATCTTTTAAAAGCTTTACATTTGATGTAATAAACTCCATATCACAAAATTTATGTTTTTGAAAAAGCTGTGAAGTTTGTTTCATGAAATTGTTTTCCATTATTAGTAGAGTAGATTACAAAAGCCAGTTACTCCTTGTGTTTGCGTGTGGATATGTTGGACGATTAAATGATGTCCCTTATCTAGTATTTTCTGTAGCGTGTGACATGTTCATTAAAATTGTATTTCTTTGTCTTGCAGGACCTGCACACCATCTACTGCCACCTCTACCACATGGACGTCCTCTCTCACCTCAGGGAACATCAGCTCAGGTGAGTCCAGTTATTTCACTCAACACAACTCTTACTTTTTTACCCTCTGAGTTTAGATTTGGGGTTGATAAAGGCCAGTGTCATGCATTTAGGGTGATCTAATGGCAGAAATAAATTCAATAAGATATTCGTATTTATTTTATAATTATTTTATAATCACCTGAAACTAAGAACTGTTGTGTTTCTGTTACCGGGTAATATTAGCAATTCTCCACCATCCCCCATGTTTCTGAAATATTTCAGAACAGACAAACCAACGCTGGCTCCAGGGAGGCTAGTGGCTCCTATAGGCGTCTGTATATCTCCTTTTATCCTACACACTGATCCAATCACATTGTCTGTTCACCAAATACAGGTTTTTCACCCTTAGGCCTTCTTTCAATTAGGCACAGTCCACCCAAACAGGTTTAAGGATCTTTTTGCAATTACCTTTTGCCTCAGGCTGCTTCTGTCCTGGCTTTATCATTTAAAAAGTTCAGGTTTCTTTTCAGACATTCTCCCGCTCATACCAAGCATGTTTGAAATGTTCCTCCTTAACTCTGGAATGTTTTCTTTGCTTGTTCGCTTCAGGAAATACACATTTGAACAAGAGGTTTTAGAATGTGCTTGAGCACTTTCCAAAACACAAGCAATTGACATGAAATACACACAACAATTGAGGCTTTAATTGTCATTTAGAGATGGATATAAACATGAAATAGACAGCTTTTGAGTGATGAAACACCTATCAAGAAATCAAGATACGGTACTTAAACCGTACATTTGGCTTGTTTAACAAACCCTTTTTAATTAGATTTAACAGACTAATGAACCATCAACATTCTGCTACGACTCAAGACTAAAACAAATGTGTGTTGGGCAGCATCTATACAGTGAGTATCAGGTCACTTTGACACTGAGCTGACAGATAGCAATGATGGTGTCCAAGATGAGACGTTTGGGATGGATATGTGATGGGTTGTTAACGCTGGAAATGTACCAGTGATGTGTTTGGTGGGAAAAAGTGAACATCTCTGTGTGTCTGTCTCAGGTCGATGTGTACCTCTGCCCGATATGAGAGACATGAGGCGAACCACATCCTGTTTTAGTAAGTATACACTCTCACACTGAGCAGGAAGTGCTCTGCTGTATTCTGCTGCACTGTCTTTGTCACCCTCTTTCTTTTCTTTTCTTTATATTCACATATCTGCTAAGGAACGCTTGTTTTACTCAAAAACAAGTGGTTTTGTATGTTTTATAACCAGTATTTACCAAGTTTCACACTATTTTCTTCAATAATATCCTGCTCCACTAACAAAGAACCTAGTGAGAATAACAATTGTGTCAAAAACAATACGGTGGGCGGTTTAATGAGTGTGTTCAAACTCTACTGGAGCGTGAGCTAAATAACATTAAATGTGTACTTTTGTTATGCTTTTATAAGTCACATTTTCCAGATTCATATATTGCTTTTAGAGGTGCTAAAGATTATGTTTAGGAAATTGTTTTAATAGTCTTTGAACAACAATGGGAGCGCTATGATACTTTTATATTGGAACAATTGGTATTATTCTTGTAATGGAATTTGTTGGCAATACAAACATTATATAATATCACCAGATTCATCCTTTACAGTGACTGAATGAAATAAGTGTACAGTTTTAAAAAAACTTTTTAAGCATGACTTTTAAAACATTCGCATCTCACAAAATTCTTCAAGAGAACCTATTATAAGCAAAAGCCTGGATTGAGACAGCTCAATCATCTACATGATGTGCTGCTTTAAAACTGTTCTCTGAAACCTCAAGTGTTGTGAAGTGATCATCTAGGCCCAATCCTGGTTTGAGATACTTAAGTTCGGATGACAACAGTGATCTATTGATCTGATGGTAATGTCGGCAGATCCACTGATAGCCTGTCTGTCAGGGTGTGGGAATAAATGGATACTGAGATGGATGAGGTAGATGTTGAAAATAAGTCATTTAAGCATCATATAGAATGAGGATTCGGAGGAAAACTAGTCAAGAGGAAGGAGGAGTAGAGGAGAAATGAACGAAAGGCTATTGAAAGATGAAGAAATTAGATAAGAAAGAAGGAAATAAGAGTCAGAAGGAGGTCTATTAAAAAGAAAAAAGTGAGAGGAGGGGACTGCAGAGGAGAAACAACGAGAGGTGAATGTGGGAAAGAGAAAAAGGAGAGAGATGTCAAGAGGGAGGAGGGACAAGAACATGAAACGAGGGGAGAAATTAGGATTTTGAGCCTGGAAGTGGAGGAACTGAGAGAGATGGAGGGTGGACAGAGACGCATGAAAGCATGAGAGAGAGGCTCCACATGCTCTTGATGTATTATCACACTAGCTGAAATCACATTAGACACCTAATGGTTTCATTTACCATCAAATAAACACGCACGCACGCACGCACGCACGCACGCACGCACGCACGCACACACACACACACACACACACACACACACACACACACACACACAGTTCATCTTTATTTATAATTGATTGTGATACTATGCACAGCCCTTTGTAATGACCCTACCCTAAATAATGGTGAGCTGGGCATCATAAAAGCAGAATGATGAGATGTTTAGCTCTAACCTGCCAGAGTGAGCTCAGTGAGGTTGTTGCGGCTGTGTGAGCCGCCAGCTGCCAGCAGGCTGATGGAGGGGTCTGTGATGTCCTTACAGTGAGCCAGGTCCAGCCTCTGCAGCTGGGGCATGTGGCGCTGCAGCAGCCGCAGAGTGGACTCACTGACATCCAACCCCGACAGACGCAGCGTCACCATGTTCCTCAATCTGCTGCGGGACGACTCCAAGCCTGAGGGAAGGAGGAAACGCTCATTTGAGCTGGAAGGTTCATATGGAGATCACACGCTGCACAGCGCTGCGCTGACCACATTCCTGTGGGAAGCACATGGCTGTGTTCAATCAGTGGTAAGGTCAGGAAGAAGACAAAAACTCCCATAACTCAACACTACTTCACCAAAATCTGTCTTTTGCTTTGATTCAGACCCCTACTGGCAGAACATGACCTATTGTGCATTTATATGACATTTAGGAAGAAGAATTCCCCTAGCCAAGTTCTTTAATTCATTAACATCTACAGAGGGGACACAGAAAGCCTCCTGACTCAGTTAACTGACGACGAACAGGAAATGACATCAGGGCACTTCAGGAAGACATCAAAACCACCAAAAGCCCCGAGTGTAGATGCTTGGAGGCGGCACTGACCTGGAGGGGTGAGGATCTCTTTAATCTGGGTGTCTTTGAGGCCTTCACACCAGCGCAGGTCCAGCAGCCGCAGGCAGGGCAGCGTGGGGGAGGCCAGCGCCGACAGGCAGGACCAGGACAGCCCCGTCACCCTCAGCTCCCTCAGACCTGAACACAGAGGGGGGGTGGTATGAGAAATGTAGGGCCAAGGGGATCTGTGTGTGAAAATGTGTGTGTGTGTGTGTGTACCTGGGAGCCTGGTGAGCAGACAGTTGAGCTGTCTCTTGGCCAGGGGGGTCCAGGACAGATCCAGAGAGGCGGGCTGGCGTTTGATGATGCCGGCCAGCACCTGGTTGCTGAGCGGGCTGCAGCGGCTCACATCCACGTGGCTCCACAGACGCTTGTCACAGCTCCTGCATGATGGGACATGTACATCAGAGCTCTGCTGTAGTGACACTCAGACATGTTGATGTGGTAGTGGATCGGGACGACGACGACATACCACTTGTACCAGGCCTTGCAGACGGTCATGCAGGCCAACAGCTGGGCTCGGTCCAGGTACTGGAACACTGACACCCACACCTCCTTCTCCCCCCCACTCTCGTTGCCCACGTCCTTAAAGGAGGGCAGAGACAGCAGGGAGGGGGGAGACAGGGAGGAGGGCACAGAAGACGCAGCAGCTTCCTCTTCCTCTGAGGAAGTCACAGAGTGATCTCGAGTGCCTCTGTCATGGTTACCTCGCATACGTGGCCTACATGAGCCAAATATAAAAATGGCATTTGTGTTAATAATGACATGTATAACAAAGTAGTAAGTGGTCAGAGAGGTTACAGAGCATTATGGGAGTTACATAAATAACAGCCTGCCAGAGTGCGAGTGTAGATAAGGCCCCTGAAAGGACCTCCTTTTGTCCTTCAGTGTCGTTTCTGTCAGCATCTATTCGTTTAGCTAAATAACTCATTGCAGAGCAGTCAAGCCAGAAGAGGGCCAGAGCTGGAGGGAGGGCATATTCCCTTAAGCTTTTCCTGTGTACTGAAAACATACTGCGCTGGGATCAGTGAACACAGCACTCTCCAGACAGAGCTGTGATGACTGTGCTGTGTCTCAAAGGAGGTCCGTGTGGGTTTGCTGCTTTCATTGAGTGCAGTCCTGTTTGTCTCACCCATCAGTAGGTCATTTTCAAAATAACATTTTTATCACGAGTCGTGTGCTGAGTCTTACCTTCCCGGTCCTCTCGGGGTGCCACTGTCAGCTGCTGAGTCAGCACTCTTCAGTCGGGAGGGTTTGGACAGAGCTGTCTTCCTCTGGATGAAGCCCTGCTGACCTGCAGCCCCCCCCACAGCTGTCCTCACACCCATGGCTGCTTCTAGCTTTGGAACTATAGAGCCTGAGCACAAACAACAAGTCAGTACTGTTTACAGTGTAGTGTGCGTAGTGTATTGCAGTGTAGTGTAGTGCAGTGCAGTGCAGTGCAGTGTAGTGCAGTGTAGTGCAGTGTAGGGCAGGGCAGGGCAGTGCAGTGTAGTGCAGTGCAGTGCAGTGTAGTGCAGTGTAGTGCAGTGTAGTGTAGTGCAGTGCAGTGTAGTGCAGTGTAGTGCAGTGTTGTGTGCGCAGTGCAGTGTAGTGCAGTGCAGTGTAGTGTAGTGTAGTGCAGTGCAGTGCAGTGTAGTGCAGTGCAGTGTAGTGCAGTGCAGTGCAGTGTGCGCAGTGCAGTGCAGTGCAGTGCAGTGTAGTGTAGTGCAGTGTAGTGTAGTGTAGTGCAGTGCAGTGTAGTGCAGTGTTGTGTGCGCAGTGCAGTGTAGTGCAGTGCAGTGTAGTGTAGTGTAGTGCAGTGCAGTGCAGTGCAGTGCAGTGTAGTGTAGTGCAGTGCAGTGTAGTGTAGTGCAGTGTAGTGTAGTGCAGTGTAGTGTAGTGTAGTGCAGTGCAGTGCAGTGTAGTGCAGTGTAGTGTAGTGCAGTGTAGTGTAGTGTAGTGCAGTGCAGTGTAGTGCAGTGTTGTGTGCGCAGTGCAGTGTAGTGCAGTGCAGTGTAGTGTAGTGTAGTGTAGTGCAGTGCAGTGCAGTGCAGTGTAGTGCAGTGTAGTGTAGTGTAGTGCAGTGCAGTGCAGTGTAGTGCAGTGCAGTGTAGTGCAGTGCAGTGTAGTGCAGTGTTGTGTGCGCAGTGCAGTGTAGTGCAGTGCAGTGTAGTGTAGTGTAGTGCAGTGTAGTGTAGTGCAGTGCAGTGTAGTGCAGTGTAGTGTAGTGCAGTGCAGTGTAGTGTAGTGCAGTGCAGTGTAGTGCAGTGCAGTGCAGTGTGCGCAGTGCAGTGCAGTGTGCGCAGTGCAGTGTAGTGTGCGCAGTGTAGTGTAGTGTTCGCAGTGTAATGCAGTGTGTGCAGTGTGTATTCAGTCACCCTGCAGCTGGGGGGGGGGGATCACCTGCGTGTCTCTTGGCCCTGTGTGGCCGCTGCAAGGTGACCGTCAGGTAGGAGCCGCTCAGCAGGTCATCGTTCAGATCTGACACCAGAAGCACTGGGGGTTCTGGGTCGGAATCCCAGCGCCCTTCCTCATCCTCCTCCTCTTCCTCTTCATCTTCCAGTGTGTCCATGTCCTCGTCTTCAGGGTCAAATTCCTGCCCCTCACTGTCCTCGTCTTCATCATCAGTCTGCCGCCTCCTCCTCCGTCGACGGGGCAGTTGTTCTTTGTCTGCATCTTCACTGTCCTCTTCGTCCTCCTCCTCTTCATCATCATCGTCATCATCGTCGTCATCATCATCTGACTCTTCGGACTCTTCTCCTCTTCGCTGCATCCTGGAGCCTCCCCTCAGCCTCACCCCTCGCCCCCTCCTCCCTGCTTCCCTCACGCCCATCCCTCGTTTCAGCTTGAGTGCTGAGGAGGAGCCAGCAGCCAGGTGCCCCCTGCGGGCCGAGCCCCCCCTCAGCAGCCCTCTCCTGCTGGCCCCAAAGCCCCTCCTGGCAGAGTGCCCCCCTCCTCGGGCATGGAGTGCCTTTCTTCTCCGAGAGGCTGCGTAAAGAGGACAACGTTGATCGGGTCAGAACAACAGACATGTGGAGGACTCAGGTTCTTTGCCGTTTTGTGGGATTAACAGACAAACCTTCATCATCATCATCATCACTGGCAGAGTCGTCTCCATCATGGCTGTGTCTCTGTCGGCGGTAGATCTTAGCCATACGGGCGTCCAGCAGCGAGGAAGATTTCCGCTTCTGGAGACGCAGGCAAAAGAAAAAAAAGTGAGGACGAAGAACAGTCAGAACTACAGAATGCAATTCCTGAAGAAATTGCTAGTGGGAATGCTTTATGCTGAAAAGCTGGCAACGGCATTTG